CCAGTCTAAAAGGTTGTCCTTCCTGCAGGCTGTCCATTGTTCATCACAATTTACGGCCTTCCAGTCTAAAAGGTTGTCCTTCCTGCAGGCTGTCCATTGTTCATCACAATTTACGGCCTTCCAGTCTAAAAGGTTGTCCTTCCTGCAGGCTGTCCATTGTTCATCACTATTTACGGTCTTCCAGTCCACTAGGTTGTCCTTCCTGCAGGCTGTCCTGTCCTACTGGTGGTATCAGAACACCCACCACAGGAAGGCCAAAGTCCACAAGAACAGCTGACTGTTTGTTTGGTCCGTTGAGTATACATTTTACGGCCCCTCTGACACAATTCTGACAGTGCAACACCAACAAGCTGCAAGGAACCATCCAGTATACAAAAGTCACTTTCAACACTCAAGTTGAAAATCAGCAAGCAGCTCTTCCAAGCCAGTTCTACTCCTGCCATCCCCTTCCCCCCTGGAAAGACTCAATCTACCCCAATTCCCCGAGAAAAAAAAATGCTGCACTGCCTCCCGCCATGGCCATGGCAATACTACCTACAAAATCCCACTCTGAACCTAGCTTATCTGCCTAACTTCCTATCAACCTATCTTTACAGGAGGGAGGGGATGGCAGAAGCAGAATAGGGTGGGAAGAGTTGCCTACTGATTTAAAGCTTGAGTGTTGGAGTGAATTTTGCATACTGGCTCGTTCCTTGTACCTTCTTGGTGCTGAGTTGCCATTACTGTGTCAATGATGCTGTCAAATGTATACTCAGAGGATCAAACAAACACTGCCAGCTGTTTGTCCTTTGATTTTTAGTGGTAGACTTACTTATAGCCCCAGTGTCTTCTTGACCCAAAATCTGATGAGTGGCAGTGATCTGAGGGAAACAAATTCAAAGTTAAATCAGTTTGTATTAGTAAGTAATATTGAGTTTAAGCACATTCATGTTGAAGCATCTAAAATATTTGATGGGTGATTAGATTTATTTAAATTCAGTACATTCTATTAAAATGAGCATAGTATTAAAACAAAAGTAGCATGTGACACAGTAAGGAAGTTTTGATCTTCAAGGATATCTATACTTCACATTGTGCCCACCTTTTAATCAACAAAAAAATTAAGGTGCAAGCGTTCCCTACACTGGTGTGAAAAGATGCGTGAACAATACAGGTTAAAAAGGAAGTATAACCTTCAAATGACCCTGAAACAAACAAATTGCTTCCGTTTGAATTACGTCAATTACAAGCAAACGTTCAATTCACAGGTATATTTTCAGGAACCTTCAGACATATCTAGGTGCAGTTTTTGAGAGAAACCTAAACATGAACATGAAACTTTCAAGTTTCAATGGGTATTCTAAATGTTCAGTCATAATAGGTTGTATTTTAATACGTCTAAATAGGCCAAGACATCTTTCAAAGACAAATACCTTTTGAGGATGTTCATGCAACGCTTCTTGTTTCTCGACACAGTCGATAAGGACAATCCTCTGATCCTGTCGGCAATCCACCGGTGCTGTACTGTAGCCAGTCCTAGGGATGAAACGTGTCATAGAAAATCCTCCAACATCGATATAGTTTTATTTAGTTTCAAGGGTTAAAAACATCCACTATACTGGCAGGGAAGAAGGAATAAAAGGCAGGTTAAAAATAGGACACGCACAAGATTTTGAAAAGGGCCAAAATGACAAAATAACGAATTTATTATTCAAAGCCACAGCCAATCGTGGAAATCTTTAATATATTGTTAATATATTCCTTCCCTATAGACGATCCTGGTGATGACGCTTTAAACCAATCCCCTTGCGTTAATTAACAGTTTCAGATAATTTTAAGATTCCCTTTGTTGACACTGATAAGTAAGATCAATGCTTATAAAAAATGTTGTTCACTTTAAATTTGTTGTATTTTTTGTGTGGGAGTATTTTTTACACCCCCATCAACACAATTTTAATCACTTTGGGAATAGATTTCAGATCTTTTAAGTCGAACCCTGACTCATCGATAGGTATCCTTATTTTACAGTCATTATGAGTTAGATGATGTCCTAATGTGGGATTTAAGCCTCAGTGAATATTGTTACAAGACATACTTCAATGACAAATACTTTCCGATGCTGATCATCATTCATCACTTCTTGTTTCTTGACAGTCTCGATAGAAACGGTCCTTTGGTCTTGTCGGTCAATGGGCCCTCCAGAACCGTACTGATGAAAGAAAATAATTAAACTTTCCAACGCACCAATGAATATTCTTTTAGCCAGGAAATAAAATAATGTTATTTAATTTCTTAATAAGTCAGTGAGTAGAATTGCAAGAAATAGTATTTCAAAGGCAATTACCCTCTCAGGCTGCCCATCATCCAGCACTGGGTATTTGCGGTCATCCAGTCTAAAGAGTGGTCATATACGCTGTCCTATCCCACTGGTAGTATCAGTACATCTACCACAGGATGGTCAAAAGCCAAAAGAACAGCTGACAGTGTTTTCTTGATAAACTGAGCTCAGAAAGAAAGTGTTGTTCTTCAAGGAAATGTATAAACTTTACATTGTGTCTACCTTTTAATCAATAAAAAAAATATTACGGTGCCAGTATACCTATGCTGGTGTGAAAAGAAAGACATGACAATTAAAGGCTGAGAAAAGAAGTACAACCTTGAAATGACACTGAAGCAAACATCTTTGTTTCCGCTTGAAATACATCAATTACGAGCAACGTTTATATGTCTTTTTCAGGAGCCATTAAACAGGTCCAGGGGAAGTTTTTGAGAGAAACAAACGTAAAAATGAAACTTTGAAGTGAACGTAGCATTTGTATTCTAATTGTTTTTTAAACGTCTAAATAGGGCAAGACATCTTTCAAAGACAAATACCTTCTATGGCTGATCATCCTACACTTCTTGTTTCGATACAGTGGATATGGACAATCTTCTGGTCTTGTAGGCAATCAACTGGTGCTGCAGGCAGTCTTGGTGATGAAAAAACGTGTTAAAGATTTATTGATCGAGAACAATATGACAAAGAGTGATTGAATGATTGAAAAGGTGTTTTACGGCACTGTCAATGTCAAAGAAAATCAAACATCTCGAGTTTTATTTAGTATCATATATTAAAAACATTCTATATTCTGGTGTCGATAAAGAAAATCCAGAATTTTGACATTTCCTTTGACTCGTACTGATCAATAAGACATATTAATGCTAATGAAAAGTGTTCATTTTAAGTTCTATTTTTCTAGTGTGTGGGTTTTTTACACCCTCATCAACACAATTCAGATTACTTAGGGTGTAGATATTCGACATTTCACGGTGAAACCTGACTCATCGATTGGTATTCTAATTTTATTGTCATTATGTGTTAAATAATGTCCTAATAATAATGGAACTTAAGCCTCAGTGAATAGAGTTGCTAGACATACTTCAATGACAAATACCTTCTAATGCTGATCATCATTCATCCCTTCTTGTTTCTTGACATTCTCGATATAAACGGTTCATTGGTCCTGTCGTCGGTCTAATGCGTCCTCTAGAATCGTACTGATGAAAGAAAAAAAATGAAAACTTTTCACGCACCAATGAATATTCTTAAGTTATTACAGAAATAGTATGTTACATAAATTCTTAATAAGTCAGTGAGCAGAACAGCCAGCAATATTATTTCAAAGACAATTACCTTTTCAGGCTGCTCATCATTCATCACTTCGTATTTGCGGTCATCCTGTCACAAAGGTGGTCCTTCCTACAGGCTGTCCTGTCCCACTGGTAGTATCAGAACACCTACCACAGGATGGTCAAAAGCCAAAGGAACAGCTGGCAGTGTTTGCTTGATAAACTGAGTACACATTTTACAACACAACTGATACAATTCTGACAGTGCTACACCAACACACTTCAAAGAAAAATCCAGTATACAAAAGTCACTTCAACGCTCAAGTTGAAAATCAGCAAGTAGCTCTTCTCAGCCTGTTCTACTCCTACCACCCCCTTCCCAAATGAAAAGACTCGATTTACAACTGCCGCACCACTTACCTCCCCACACCCCCCTCCAAAAAAAAAAAATGCTACACAGCCCCCTCAACTCCCTCCCTCCATGGCCATGGCAATACTATCTACAAAGTCATACTCTAAACCTAGCCTGTCCACCTAGCTCCCTATCAACCTATCTTTAAAAGGCCACAGCAGTGTAGGTAGGGGTCTTTTCAAGGGGGAAGGGGGTGACAGAAGTAGAATTGGGTGGTAACAGCTGCCTAATGATTTTGAGCTTGAGCGTTGGAAGTGAATTTTGCATACTAGATTGTTCTTTGAAGCTTGTTGGTGCTGCACTGCCATTACTGTTTCAATGATGCTGTAAAATTCATACTCAAATAGGTATCAAACAAATTCTACCACCTGTGTATTTGACCTTCTACTTTCTGTGGTAGACTTACTGATAACTCAAGCACCTTCTTGCTAAAAGTCCGATGAGTGACAGTAAACTGAAAAAAAATTAACTCAAAGTTAAATCAGTTTGTATTACTAAATTTTGAATGTAAGCACATTCATGTTGGAGCATCTAAATTATTTGATACGTGATTATTTAAATGCAGAACATTTTATTTACATGAGCTAAGTAGTAAAACATGCAGCATGTGACTCAGAAAGAAAGTTTTGTCCTTCAAGGAAATGTATAAACCTTACATTGTTTCTACCTTTTAATCAATAAAAAATATTACTTTACCAGTATACCTATGCTGGTGTGAAAGAAAGACTTGACAGTTACAGGCTGAAAAAAGAACAACAACAACCTTGAAATGACACTGAAGAAAATATCTTTCATTGTTTTCGTTTGATTTACATCAATTACACGCAACATACTCAGGTCTTTTTTCAGGAGCCATTAAACAGGTCCAGGGGAATTTATTGAAGAGTTAGTTTAGTATGGTGTGTTTTGGCGCTCTCAACTGCATAAGGAGTTTTTGAGAGAAACAAACGTAAAAATTAAACTTTCAAGTTGACCTAGCATTGGTTATTCTAATTGTTTTTTGAACGTTTTAATAGGCCAAGACATCTTTCAAAGACAAATACCTTCTATGGCTGATCATCCTACACTTCTTGTTTCTCGATACAGTGGATATGGACAATCTTCTGGTCTTGTAGGCAATTAACCGGTGCTGTAGGCAGTCCTGGTGATGAAAACAATGTGTTAAAGATTTATTGATCGAGAACAATATGACAAAGAATAATTGAATGATTGAGTAGGTGTATTACTGCACTGTTAATGTGTCAAAGAAAATCAAACATCTCGTGTTTTATTTAGTATAATAATATTTAAAACATTCTATATTCTGGTGTCGATAAAGAAATTACAGAATTTTGATATTTCCTTTGACTCGTACTGATCAATAAGACATATTAATGCTAATGAAAAGTGTTTATTTTAAGTTCTATTTTTCTAGTGTGTGTTTTTTTACACCCTCATCAACACAATTTAGATTACTTAGGGTGTAGATATTCGACATTTCACAGTGAAAC